GAAGAGCCGATTGCTGTCGGATCGCCCAAGCACTTGACTGAGCCGATCGTGGTTTCTTTGCGTGACGAGCGCTATCGGTTGATTCGTGCCAAGCCAGGTTTTATCTGCCTGAAAAGTGGACTCAAGCACTGCCAAAGTGCCATTTGTCTCAGGAGACTTTTGTGCGTGGTGGAGGTCGCGCGTCGTCCGGTCGATCGTCTTCGCATGCGTGGCTGCCCCCAAAGTCTGATAAGACCGCCAAGAGTCGAACTGAGTCTGTTGACTGGTTGCCGCCGCCATCGTCGGTCTCTCGGAGTTCCAAATCTTGGTTGCCTGCTCCTTCTACGATTGGAGGCTTCGACTGTGAACGTGACGAGCCCGCAGATGTGCCGCCTTCGGCCGGCCGCAAACGATTGCGCAGGGAGTCAGAAAACAAGCCACTGGTGCCTGAGGGTGAAAGTTTGAAGTGGACTTGCCCCAAGTGCAGCCTCGAGTTCTCCGCCACCAGCCGGCATCGGTTGTCAAATCTTAAAAACAAGCATGTCTCTCGGCGACACCCGGAGTCAAGAGTTGAAATCGGTCGTACTTGGAGCCGGGCCTTGCTGGTGGTGCCTGTTTCGCATGTTCGTCCCGAGGACGAGGTTGGTTGGACCTGTTATTTTTGCAAGGGCACGCTGCCGGGCATCGATAATCCCAGAACTCGGAGCAAAAGTGCTTTGGCTCACCTGGCCATTTGCCCCAAAAAAGCACCGCGGTCTCGTACGCCTTTGACCATGATTGACAACATGGCCCATAGGATCAGGGAGTTGGGTGGGACCCCCTCCACGGTGAAGATGTTGGTTCCATCCAAAGGTGAGAAAGGTATGGAACGCATGGCTCGGTTGAGTAGGGCCCTGGTTCAGTTTAGTTGCAGAAAGGCATTGTTTTCGCATCTCGCCAGAGGGCCAACGAGGCACCAAGGCGCATACATCTTGTTGTTCCAGTTTTCCAGGGCGCCTTGTGACCACATATCCTTTGTACTTCCTTTCGGAGTCCTGTGCCATTTGAAGCATTTGAAGCATATATTGAAACGTGCAAGCCCCTAGTACTACGTGAAACAGTGAAACTCCGCTATCCTAAGTGTTTCGTGCTGTACAGCCTGTACAATCTGTACTCATCCAGGACTACCACTAGGGTGGCAAACTATGAGGACCTCTCGCAATTGGAGGGTGACATCGTCAGCTTCCTGCCAACGGTCTCTGATATCGAGGTCTTTGGCTGCGAAATTGACCTCATAGAGCCAGATACTCATTGCCATTGGGTGATTCCTTCCGCTCCACGCTACGGCAGCAAAACAGGCTGCAGGTGATTGTCCATGCATGGAGGAAGGGCATACGGTCTGGCAGTTCCAAGACAGCGACAGGGATGGTCATCTCCCAAGGCAGTTCGAGTCCCACCCAATGCACGGCGGACAGTACCTGAAATGATGCATAGTTTTTTTCGAAACAGTGTGCTCACAAGTTTGTTCGGGTGGAAAAGTGCGCTAAAACTTCGCTGCATGCCGCTTTTTTCACTTGTTCTTCCTGTTTGGTCACTTGGAACTCCCCCCAAATGCTCAAGTGCGATATGGAGTTAGGTTTGCAACAAGAGTGCCTTGACCGCGAACATGGGGTTCGTAACATGGGCACTCGAACGATCTGGCGATCGGCGGACAAGCAGACGAAGGCATGCTAAGGTGTGGAAACTCAGTGCTCGAGAGAAAGAATGTCTTCACGAGCAAGGTTGGAAGTTACTTCGGAAATTTGGCCGCAATCCCAACACTGCCTCGGACTCAAAGAAGAATGAGTCGGTGTACCGCACTCGTCAGCGGCACCAGAAGGCCAAAATGATGGCCAAGAATGTGTCTCGAGGAGGCTTGTTTCATAAGCAGCGTGAGAAGGTCGTGCGTGAAGGAAAGGAACCGAACCCTGGCCCGTCGTCACTGTGGTGTGGGGTTACCTTGAACTATGCTTCTCTGGACAACACTTGGGCCTTGGTCGACCTGTTGACTTCCCACCGGTTGCGTCCAGACGTTGTTTGCTTGCAAGAAACGTTCCTGAATGCGAGAGCCAGCTGAAGGTCGCTGATCGGTTGCGGTAAGCCGGCGGCGCCTGGGATGGTATGCTGGGCGTCCTGATGATGCGGCCGTATTGGAACATATGGCGAAGGTGCGGCAGCAGCTTTTGGTTCTTAGCCCACTTCGGCGCCCTCCTGCGGCTGCTGAAGCGGTGCTGCAGAGCTGAGCTGCTGTGATGTGAGCTTGGAGTGCCGCTGTCCTCGAACACGTACACTCGATGAAAAATTCCTCCTGGCGGAGGTGGCTGGTGAAGGTGTCAGCTTGGGCGTCGATGAAGAAATGCCCAGGACTCCTCAAGTCTATGAGGAGAAGGTCAAGTGGACGGTGGGTCCGACCGATGAGTGCTTTCGTGATGTCTTGGCAGAGAACTACATCTCTGCAGAGGAGAATCATGAGGACATCGAAAGACAGGTGTTGGAGGAGGTGACGAACGGCAACATTCTTCGCATGTCGGAGGCGGAGGCGAGATCGCGCTTCGCTGGCAGGCTGGCGGTGGCAGCACTTGGGGCCGTGCCAAAGGAGCTCGGCGCGAACAGACTGAGATTGATTCATCAGGGTCAGAGACCGCACGCGGTTTCCTCTCTTTGACGATGCTGCAGCAGTGCTTCGACAGATTGAGGAGTGCAAGCGGGAGCGTCGTGAGGTGGTGAGACTTTCAGTGCTCTACGACATAGCCAGGGCTCATAAGCTCATACCGGTCAAGGAGAAGGACTGGGGTCTTCAGGCTTTTCGCTTGCCGGGCGACGACACTGGGGACGTCTTCGTGCATACACGGGGGATCTTTGGAGTCGCGAGTGCGGCTTACTGGTTTGGACGGGCGATTGGAGTGGCCGGTCGGTGCACACACAGGATCCTGGGTCGCCATATGGGCGTGCTGCATATGATATATGCCGATGACGGCTGGACTGCCGCCACAGGCAAGGCATTTTGGAAGAAGATCCTCATGTGGCTCTTCGTCTTTGAGCTCTTCGAGATTCCCATCACGTGGAAGAAGGTTCGAGGGGGAGCCCAAGTTGATTGGATAGGCTACCACCTCAACGTGTCCACAATTGCAAGGGGCATCAATGAGTCGAAGAGGAGGTGGATACAGAAGTGGATCGACGACAAGCTTGCTGCAGGTGGTGTCGTCGGTCGTGAGCTGAAGTCGGTCCTGGGTCGGCTCTCTTTCGTAGCAGGGGCCTTGAAGCATGTCAGGCCATTCTTGGCTCCGCGGTCTTCCACGCTGGCAGGTGGCACCTTCGCCAAGTTCCCGGACGCAGTGGCCGTTGCACTTGAACAGGCGAAATGCACCTTGGGCCTACATGAAAGGTGATCCCTTCAGGGCCATAGCCAGTTTGGAGTTGGTGGGGGTGTTAGTGGCAGTCATGGTCTTTTCTCCAGGAGCTGAGTGGGCATCGGGGGAGACGAGAGTGACCTTGTCCGCTCTGACCAACAACCTCGGCAACACCCACGTCCTTCGAAAGTATGGCGCCAGCAAATACCCAAGCCCATTGAGTATCATCGCTATGGAGCTGGCGTCTCAGTTGGATCAACTGGGCTTGGAACTGGACTTGCAATGGGTGCCAAGGTGGCAGAACCAGTTGGCCGACGACCTGACCAACGACCGCTTTGAGGAGTTCGAAGCCAGTAAGCGCATACCTGTAGACTTTGAGTCTTTGCAGTTTAGTGCTGGACAAGCTGCTGCGCAAAGCAGGTGAACTGGACGAGGAACTGCGCCTCTACAATCCAAGGAAGCAAAGCAGGCAGCGCTGCGATCTGGTGAACTCAAGCTCGAGAAGAAGGTCAAGAAAGGGCAAGTGCGCTGACAAGACCCTTGGTGAGCAGGGCAGGGCGGGTCGCCGTTCGATGGTCGTTGGTTCCCTCCACGTTCCTTTTAGTAAGAATAGATAGAGATGGGGTAGTGCAGGACTCATCTAATGCTAAAGTGGGGGGAAGTTAGAAGAGGCAATGGTATAAAATAGAAAACTCTCGAGAA